AGGCAGGCGGGTAGGAGTCTGCCGGTACCGGCTCTTTGCTTCTGGGGTTTTTCGGTTGCGGTGTCACAGGGTCTGGGTGTTGGGCCGGTAGCGGTGACCCGCAGCGGGTGCTCGGCGTGAGAAAACTCTGCTGGAAGTGATCTTTCCTGTTACAATGCTCAAATACACCCGCTTTTTAAATTACCTTCTCAGCGCTACACAGAAAGTTTTGAGGAGTTTTTGGTGTGTGCTGTGTCTGGAGGTTTAACTTCTGCTTGTTTCAAGACAGATGCTGTTTGCAGCGATTACCTTGTCAGGGTGTCCCGAACATTGAGCAGTGACAAGGAGATGTTGGTGCTATAAAGTGCTTTGTAGGCATAATGTGGACATCCCTCTTCATTTAGGGGTCGGGGCGTACAGGGCAGGGAGAGGGGGTGTCCCAGAAACAGGTGTATAAAAGAGTAATTCTGGATTCTCATAATGTATGGTGCTTTCTGAAAAGATGCTGTGACCTGCTGTCACCCCGCTGTGTCAGGGAAATAAACGTTTCCTAATGTCTGTATTAAACCTTGAAATTGGACTTGCTGTATGGTCTTTAAAAGTTGCTCTCCCCTCTCGCTGTTTCTGTGGTTAATTAGTAGTTGGTGTCCTCAAGGTTGTCAACACACCTGCAACTTTCCATCCGGTCAGGCTCAGTCAGGAGTAACAGCTCCTGTTGCGGGTTGGTGTGAGCTGGAGCAGCCCAGAGAGTGTTGCTGCGATACTTTTCTCTTTGAGAGCAAAGTTACTTTGTTTTTGACACCGCATGTATTAAATTATGGGGACTGAAAGGCGCAGTCCGTGCTCAGGGGCAGCAGGGAGGATTTCTGTTCCCTCTGTAGGACCGGGCAGCGGATTTTGGCTTTGTTTGTGTAGAAGTTGGAGGAACTCGCCTGAGCAGGGGATGGTGGAGATGAATATTTACAGAGTGACGGGTGGCAGGGAAGAAAGTGTATTGTTTTGTGGATAACTTATATGAAATTGATGTTGTGTAAACACAGGTTTGGTGCTGCTGTGTGTCATTTGGCCCTTCTACATCCTTCAGAGCCAGAGTTACTCACCTTGGTACACGGAGTGATGATTAGATTGTCAGAGTTCAGTGTGGGAAGGAGCGCTGACTCCTGCAGCAGTTGTAACACCTCATCAGCTCCTGAGCGAGACATCCCCAGCTCACCCAGCCGGTGGTGTTCTTGTGCTACGTTTTGGCCACAGGATCGCAACATAATACACAAAACGGCAACATCAGAAACTCCAGTACCAGAATACCCAACCCCGGAAATCCCATTAAATTTTATTTATTTGGTTTTTTGGCTTCAGTGGGAGAGGGTCTTTTGTGTGGTGGTGTTTTTAAATAAAACTTGAACAGCTGGACAAGCTTAATGAGACTACTTCAAAACTTAAATTATATTCAAGTTGGAGCGTGCGGTTGAATCTATCAGCTGGATTAAAGCCCGCATGAAGTATAGACGGAGCGTGCTCTATAAGTGATGCATTTAAACTTTGCGCATAATCTGTTTTCCAGATCTCGCAGGCCAGGCTGAATTCACTAGTGCCTGTTACAGCAGTTACTTTTTTTGGTGCCTTTCCAGGAGCTGACTAGTAATGATTATCTTCTAACTGAAATAGGATTAAACGTTACTTTTCCACTTTTTTTTCTAGTGAAACGCGATGTCCAGGAAAATGATGAAGAAGCGGTGCAAGTCAAAGAGCAGAGCATCCTGGAACTGGGGTCACTTTTGGCCAAGACTGGGCAGGCAGAAGGTGAGCCTGAAATAAGTAACTGGGGTATCGAGTAAGGTACAGTCAAATGCATCTAGCCTCTTTATTTAATGGAATAGCAGTAAAAGCAGATTTTGGCAGGAAATTCCTCTCAGAGACAGGACAGAAACTAAAAAAAAAAACCTGGATAAACAACATAAAATATTAATCTCATGTTACTTGGTCTGCTATTCCAAAAGATTGCTGATGTGTTGGACAGTTTAGTTTATGACCCCCTTTGATGTATGGCCGTTTTAGTACAAATGACTGAAGTTTTGTTAAGTTGTCATGTTTGAGATGTGAAGTTTCTCTTGGTTTGTTTTTAATAATCTCTTTTTTCAAAGTGGAAAATTTGTCCCCAAAAGGCCTTCCTCACCAGCAGCTTCTTTCTCAATT